AATACTATTATTATCCTAATTTTACAGCTAACAAAAGAGACAAACTGTTAAGAAACTTGTCCAAGGTTAGGATGCAACCTGGGCAGTTTAGCACCAAAGCTTATGCTCCTAATCACTCTCTCACTTATTTAATTTCTGTCTCTTGCATTAGAATGAAAACTCCATGTAGACCGGAACCATATTGCTGGTGTTTTCTACTGTGCCTACACAACATGTACATGGTAACTATGTGTTGAATAAAATCAATGAATAACCCAAGTGAAAGAAACAGTGGACTAAATTATGTATACATATAAGAAATAATTTGGGTGAAATATTGGTAAACTTTTTGCAGACTTTGCTGATTGCTATGGACTAAATGTCCATAAATTCATACGTTGCTCCTCCTCAAATTCACACCTTGAAATCCTAAGACCCCAGTGCGACCTCTAAGGAACTAAATAAGTTAAAGGAGATCATAGTGGGGAGCCCTAATCCAATAGTAAGGTGTCCTTATAAGAAGAGGAGGAGAAACCAGAGTGTGTTTTCTGTTCTTTTCTCTCTCTCTTTCCCTCCCTCTGTCTTTCTCGCTCTCCCTCTCTCTGTCTGAGCATGCACTCAGGAAAGGTCATGTGAGGACTAGTGAGAAGGTGGCCCTCTGTAAACAGGAAGAGGCTTTTATCAGAAAACAAATCAGCTTGAACTTTGATCTTGAACTTCTAGCCTACAGAACTGTGAAAAAATAAATTTCTGTTGTTTGAGCCACCCAGTGTATGATGATTTGTTATGGAAGCGGGAGCAGACAAGACAGTGATTAGTAGGATGAAGGTGGGTGGTAAAGGAGAGGTTTGCAAGCCTGGAAGACTAGAGGGACAGTGGTGCCAGTCATTGGGGTAAAGAACCCAGCAAGGGGAAGAGGAAAGATTGGTTATGGTTAATGGAACAAACAACACTAATTTTTCTGAACTCAGGGTTTACCTCACTCAAACACAGCAATATAGAAGTTAGCTATTTAAAACCACTTATTCAATAAATGTGTATTCATCCCCTAGCCATGGTGACTGCTGTGCTTATCCTGAGAATACAAAGTAAATAAGATTCATTCTCTGACCTCAAGGAACTCACAGTCCACTGGGGAGAAATATTGTTCCCTTTTGTAAAGCTAGCATGCCAGCTGGAAAGACCATTTTCCTTTTCTCCATTTTCTAAAGACCTGGGATCATCAGAACTATAGAGGTAAAATCCCATATGAATAAGAAAGAGTCATTTGAGGGATGTAGGGGATGCTGGGGGAGGGGGAGGTCAATGGGGTGAAAAAAGGAGACATATGTACTACTATTTGTAATACCTTAAACAATAAAAAAAAAGAGTCATCTGAACTGGATTTGCATATGGGCCTCGGAGTATAAAAGCTGAGTGATGATCATAGGCAGTTTTAGGGTTCTCAGTTACACCTGTAGAGTTGTTTTAAGATCAGAGAAGAAAAGGTAGGTAGAAATGTTTTGTCAAATGCAATATGCATGTTAATAATAATTATTATTATAAAAGCTACATTTCTTACCTGCAGAAACTAGAGGTGAATCAGCCATAGACAACAAGTCGGAGGTAAAAAGGCCACTTTGAACCCTGTGGGGGCAGGAGTTCTGGGATGGTAGCGGGAGTAAGACTGAGGTAGTGGGACATAGAATAGGCTTTGGGGCCCTATAGACCGAGTTCAAATCACAGTCCAGTCAGTTATTAGCTATGGGAAATCGAACAAGTCATATAATTAACCTGAGCTTTAGTTTCATCTGTAAAATGGAGTTAATAATACCTACCCTGGAGGGTTGTTCTGAGTATGTAAAGGGCTTGGCATGGTGCCTGGCAGAGTTGTCGCTCAATTAATGGTAACTATTGCTCCTATTAAAATATTATCATTTTCCTCTCCTATCTCCTAAGGGGTTTGTGTAGGTAGTGAAGTAACTTGAGATGCCAAGAAGTGAGGGAAATGGAAGGGTTTTTATGACGGACTTAAAAAAAGTTATTTTTAAAAGTTAAAAAAAAAAAGAGTAGTCCAACTCGGCTTTCCTCTCCTACCCTATGGTGCAAACATAACCCTTGTAGAAATTAGCACTGTAATCTATAGCTTGGAGCCACAGAACACCCACCTTGATAATTATTCCTTGTATTTAGTCTATCCTAAGTAAATCTATCAATCACCATTAATAAGGGTTCTCCAAAGGCAATGCTTCTCAAACTTTAATGTACACATGAGTCAGCCGAGGGCTTGTTAAAATGCAGACTTTTATGCTGTGGATTTAGAGTGGGGCATGTAATCCTGCCTTTCCAAAAGCTCCCAGGCAAGGTCCATGCTGCTGGTTCATGGGCCACACTTTGAGGAAAGAGCATGGCTCTGAAGGGACGTGGACATATCTTCCTTGGCGCGGTGTTCACTGTAATGGCCTGCTTCTCTTTTGTGAGCTACCTAATTTGCAAACCAACTGCTAGAACGCTAACAAGCCCTTTTCAGACCAGATGTAGAAATCCCGCAACAGGACTCATTTCAGATCAATAGCGACTTTTTTGAGTAGCCTATTCTGTGCAAGGCACTGTGCCAGGTGCCAGGGATACACAGGTTAGTAAGACACAATTCCTGCTTCTGAAGACTGTCCTCATCCTAACACTGCATGCCCTTGTAGACTAACTTTCTGAGGGCAGTCTTACTGGCTCCCCTATTGCTTAACACTACGTAGATACTCAATAAATACTAAATAAATGAGTCAATGAGTTCACAGGAGTTTCATTAAAAATGTCTTCTCGAAGCACATGACAATGGGACACTCTTAAACTGCACTCTATCCTAAGTATCACATGTAAGAAGTGGCTAAGTTAAACTGAGGCTGATAGGCTGAGTACTAATACAATCTGCCTGGTATCCTTATAAAAAGAGGAGATTAGAACACAGAGAGAGACTCCAGGGATAAGAACACAGTGAGAAGGTGGCCATCTGCAAGCCAAGCAGAGAGGCCTCAGAGGAAACCAAACCTTGATCTTAGATTACCAGCATCCAGAACTGTGAGAAAATAAATTTCTGTTGTTTAAGCCCCCCAATGTGCGGTATTTTGTTATGACATCCTTAACAAACTTATACAGATTTTCACAGCTTTTATGCCCAGATCCAGACTCCCTTTTGTAGGGCACACGAAGTGGAAGAATAATTCTGAGTGGATGGATGAACCCCAGAGTGCAGTGGGAATGAATTATGGAAAAACTGGGGGGAGACAGACAGAAGAAGGTGAGACAGTAGCCTAAATTGGGCTAAAACAGCTGCTACACACACACACACACACACACACACACACACACACACACACTTCCTCCCTTCTCATGATACCAACACAAAGTAAACAGCTTTTTGACTTCTTTTCCCCTTGGTAGCAGAAGGAAGACCCCAGGTACCTCTCTATGCAAAGAGCTAGAGAGTACCTGTGATGGTAAGGCAATGAAACTGAATTTTTGACAAACAAATTAAAACACACATAGTCAAATGAGATTCCTGCTAGTCACAGGGAAGCTACATTTGAAACCTGATTCTAAAGTCAGGGAATTATTATTTTTATTTAGCTTAGTTTGTAATAAACATGCCAACTCATATGTATAGATGAGTGCCTCCTTCAAAATAGTCATTCTAGAATCTAGAACAGTGGTTCTCAACCTTCTGGCCCTTTAAATACAGTTCCTCATGTTGCGACCCAACCATAAAATTATTTTTGTTGCTACTTCATAACTGTAATGTTGCTACTGTTATGAATCGTAATGTAAATATCTGATATGCAGGATGGTCTTAGGTGACCCCTGTGAAAGGGTCGTTCGACCGCCAAAGGGGTCGCGACCCACAGGTTGAGAACCGCTGATCTAGAAGGTTCTACCTTTTTCTAACTATGTCACTGTTCTCAAATCATTTCTGGAATTGCTTTCAGGGTCTGTGAGATAATCTTCTGAATGTTCTCAGTGGTGACTCCTGAAGGTGGATTTGATTTTGAAAAACAAGCAAGGGTCCTTCTGGGTCAACTCTAGCTAACTAGGGGGAGCAGCAAAACTGTGGAATGCCAAGACGACTGACACCAAAGTACCCAGGCTGATGTTTCTTGGGTGAATTGTACTCAACCCCAAAAGGCAGTTACCAAAGGCCAACTCCAGACATGCAGTGAACATGTTATAAGCATGACATCAAGGAGTGGGGGTGACTGCTCTGAAGTAAACATACAAGTTTTCTTTTCATGTCGTTATGCAAGTTTTCTAGTGGTTCCCTTTACCAGAATATTTCCTCAGGTCCAGATCTATCCTACCTCATGGGACCACAGTTCCAAGAAGTACAAGGACCTCATTGCCCTACTCAATTTTTAATTCCAACGTGGGTACTTGATATGCGGAGTGAATAGCTGATGGAAAATTCAATAGGGGGGAAGAATGTCTAAGGTGTTTGGGGTTTACTCTATGTGATTCAAAGGCTATAACTAGGACCCAGAGAGAAGCTTAGGAGAAATAAATTTCTACTCCAATGCAAGACACTGTCAGCAGCGGAGCTGTCCAGCAGTGGATTGAGTTTGCCCTGGAAATAGTGAGCTTCCAGCCCTGGGAGGAGTTTAAAACAAAGGCTGCTTGCTATGGGAACTGGTCAAGGTTCCTCCAGCAATGAGTGGGAAGCTATAAGCAATGACCTCCAAGGACTATTTCCAAAGTCCATCCTGCACAATACACCTGGCAAATGATAGGCCCTGAAAAAATACTGGAATGAAATGAATGAGAAATATGGGGCATCTTGTGAGCCAAGCCAAGGAGAAGAGACTTGGAGCTCAGTCATCTGCAAGGAAGGTAAGGAGAAGTGAAATGAAAAGGGCCCGTGCGTCATGAGGTGGGGTCTCCCTTGAGTTTTTGGTACCGCGGAAGAAGTGCTTTGGGTGCCTGAAGCCTCACGTTTATGAAAGGGTAGTACTTTTGAAGGTGGTAGGAGTTGAGAAAGGAGATAGACCACTGCTCACCCTTCTTAAACTCCTCCAGCACCGTGTCCAGCCGAGTATCATTGAAGACGCAGTGCAGGGGCCGGTTGTAGAAGCGGGTGACGGTGAGGAGTGGGGTGCAGTCATCGGGGTCCACGAAGGCCAAGTCCTTGACAAACAGAATGTCCACAATGTTGTGCCGCTGATCGCCCTCGTACACGGGGATGCGAGTGTAGCCGCTGCGCAGGATCTCGGACACGGTGGAAAAGTCCAGCACGGCGTCGGAGCGCAGCATGAAGCAATCGCCCAGCGGGGTCAGCACCTCCTCCACCACCTTGGTGCGCAGCTCCAGGGCGCCCTGAATGATGTTGAGCTCCTCTTTCACCAGGTCGTTGTAGGGGTCCGCGGCCCGCAGCGTCTCCAGCAGCTTTTCCCTGGTGTAGAAAGTGCTGATCTCCTGGCGCAGCGCCCAGTCCAGCAGGCGGCCCAGCGGGTAACACACCGGGAAAGCGGCCGCCATCAGGAGCCGGGTCAGGCACACGCTGTGCGAGGCGATGGCCAGCCCGTGCCGCGAACACACAGAATAGGGGCAGATCTCCGCGCCCAGGA